GCCTCGTGGCGACCAGCAACCCGGCTTTGGCCGCCCGCCTTCTCTGGGCCCCCTCTGGCCATGGCGGCCTGCTCCGCGGGCATCCCGTTTTCCTGGCGGGCACGCGCGGGTGGCGGCGGGCTGTCTCTCCGCAGGGAGTTGGAGCGTGTCACCGACATGTTCTCAAACTCGTCCAGCAGCAGCGTGAGGGCCCCATCCTTGGCGCCTTTGCTGCCCCGCACGATGGTCTGGGATGCGGGGCAATGGCGGGGTGGGGGCCGGGTAAGGAGGGGAACACAGGACGTGTATCCGACACACAGGGACAAGACAATACAGCACACACAGAGACAAGACAGAGACGGAATGAAGAAATGCCATGGGGTGATGATGGGGCTGGGAGGGCAGGGGCAGCACCAGGGAGGCCCCTGCAGCCCCGCCCCCAGCACCTAGTCATGGGTTACAAGAGGGGACCTGAAGGAGGACCTTCCCATCAGTCAGGCTGTTGCCCCCGGGCTGGATGTTCCCTTGAAAAGCACCCAGTCTTTCTCTTGAGCTCCAGGCTGGGGGGCGGTCCCTGCCCTGAGTGGTGGAGGGGAAGGAGGGCAGAGGCCACGCCACCCCATAATCAGCCCCGAAGAGCTGCAAATTACAGGATGCTGCAGCCAGGGCCCAGCCTGGCACTTCCTCCCCTGCAGCCTGCCCAGGGCTGTTAACCCCAAACCATGCTCTCTGTTTCCCTGGAGGCTGAGGGTGGGGTAAAGGGAGAGTCAGAAAGGATTGACCCCAAAGTAGAGGGTAGGAGTGCCCCAGGAGTGGGGGTAAATACAAATGCCCACGTAAAGCGTGTCCCAAATCTACCCAGGCCTCACCCGCCATGGCCGACACCCTGATTCAGGTCAGAGCCTCCAGGGTTCCCCCTGACCCTCACTCAGCTCCAGGTACATGGGTCTCCTCACTACTCCTCAAAAACACCAGACATGCACCAACCTCAGGGCCTTTGCACTGGCTGTTCTCCCTGCCTGGAACATCTTCCCCCATGTTTGCCCAGGGATCCCTCCCCACCCCGTCTTCAAGTCTTTGCTCAAAACTCCGTTTCTCAGAGGGAGGCTTTTGCTAACAACCCGTAGTCTAAACTAACACCTCCTGTCTCCCTACCCCGCTTTCTTCTTTTCTAGGGCACTTGAAACCAGCTAACATAAAGCACGCATATAGCTGTCCAACTGTCTGTTCCCCCAGCACAATGTTCCTGAGGGTAGCCATTTTTTTTTCCTGTCTGTTTCTGCTTTGGCTACGTCTAGTACCTAGAACAGCAGCTGATACGCAGAAGGTGCTCAATAAATGTTTGCTGAATCCCTGAGTAAGTGAGTGAGGCCGGCTGGGAGGAGGCTGCGGGGAGGAGAGAACATGTCCTCAGCCCTGTGCTGTCAATCACCAGCAGTCAGGGACAGGGGCTGCCAGACATCCTAAAGCCAGAACTGCCCATCCTTGTCCAGGGCCTCAGTGAAGCAAGGGAGACACCTGGTCAGACTCTGGTGCTGGAATAAGAGGTCGAGAAGTCCCTGGGGGTCAGGGTCGGGTCTGGGATGACTAGGGAGATTCTCAACCAAAGGCAGCAAACACAAGTGCCCATGGGGCCCCAGGACAGTGAGCCCATGTGGCATTGTTGTGTGACTTAAGACAAAGTGCCCCTTCCTCCTGGCAGACACCGTCCCAGATAGAGCTCATGGCTGGCAGGCTAAGCAGGGGCTAGATTTTAGGAGGTGCCCTGGGCCAGGTCAGGGATGGAACTGGGTGGGCTGGGTGGGGCCTGTGGACCCAGAAGAGCCAGTGTTCAGCCTACGGAGGCAGCTGCCCCTCTAGTGGCCCCAGCCCATTGGTTGGGAGAAGCCAGAAATATAGATTTGGACGTGAAGTCTCTTGCTTTTTTAGGCAGTGGCAAAGAATTCAAAGTATCCAAAAGCCCCCTGCATGGGGCACATGCACACATTGGTGGGCTGCCAGATGGAGGCCGTAGGGGGAGAGCGCCTGCACCTCTCTGCCCATTTTGGCCAGGCACCGGGAGAGGATGAGTCAGCCACAGGCCTGCCCTGGGGCGCTGGGCCTGCTGACCGGCACGCCCATCCCCGCCCCTCGGAACAACTCTGGCTGCGATCCTCTGGCCCGCAGCCCTTCCAGGTTTCTCACTGCCCTTTGGATAAAGTCCAGGCTGTAGCCCTTGCCCTCAGACCAGCCTGAGAGGCCACACCCGGGAGCCAGGACCTCGGAGACAGGAAAGGGATTAAGAGCATGAGCCTTGGAAACAGAACTTGCTTCAAATCCCAATTCTGTCCTTTTGCTTAAGATGGCAGGGGAAAAAAAAAACCAAACCAACCCCCACCCACAATGCTTCACGTGGGCGGGTTCCTCCACTAGATGCCCTGCCTCCTCACCATTTGCCTCAATGACTCCTCCTCCCCCTTATCCCACAGGCCTCATCCCAAGAAGCAGGCCTGGATCCCGGGGCTGGGTCAGGTGCCCTCTCTGGGTTCCCCCAGCCCAGCCCTGACCTGCTGGGGCAGTCACCATGTGGGAATAGGCCGGTCCCTCCCCGCGCGATGGCCCGAGGACAAGTCTGCGGTACTGGGGACAGGAGCACAGAGCTCAGTGCGTGAGGCTCCTCTGACCACGACTTGGGGCTGGTGTTGGGGGACAGTCGAGGGGTCAAGGTCACTGTGGGGTTCTTGGGAAGGTAAGGCGGTCAGTGTTGAGAGGCCAAGTGAGGGATTAGGGGGTGGAGGTGTGAGTGAAAGGCCAGTGTCGGGAGTGAGGATGAGGGGGACGGCTGGCGCGTCTAGAGGTCTGTTTGGAGGAGGTGTTGGCCCCAGAGTATGGGATCGAGGGATGGGGTCCCCCTGTGAGGGTTGGCATGGGTCCAAAGAGATGGTGGTGGCTGCCAACATACCTTGGGGGCCCCAGGCTGGATGGAGGTAATGCAGGCGGGGTCGACAAGGGGCTTGGGCCGGCGAGCAGACTCCTCGATCAGGCTCTGCCACTGGCGGGGCAGCCCCGTGAACTTCTGCTCATGTTGGTCGAAGCCCGTGTGCACGCGGTGCTCGAAGTTGGATGGCGCCGAGATCTCGACCCGTTTCTTCTTCTTCCCAAACATGGTGCCAGGCTTTAAGCGCGCAAGGGTGTAGACTTGGGCTCCGGCTGGCAGGCCTGCAGGAGGGGGCTGCTCACCAGAACCTGCCCATCTCTGGCCCTGCCTGCGCTCCGTACTCCCTCCTCTCTTCCCTGGTCTCCCCACTCCCCCTGCCCTGTACAGTCTGCCCCCCACATGCAGCCTAGGGACCCCATGAACACCCGAGTCAGGTCCCTTGTTCAGAGCCCTCCTGGGGCTCCACCTCACTCAGGAAAGTCGAGTCCTACTTGTGGCCCACTCCACAAGACCTGCCCCATCACCTCTCAGCTCTCATCTCTCCCTCTCGCTCACACTGGCTTCCAAACCTCAGGGCCTTTGCACTGGCGGTTCCCTCTGCAGGGAGCACTCTTCCCTGGTATTCACACATGGCTCCCTCCCTCCCCTCCTTCAGGCGTCAGTCATTGGTGACACCTTTCCTGACAAAGAAAAAAAGCCCCCGTGCCCCACTGTCCTCCCAGTACATCATTTCATAGCATGCTTAATTTCTGGAAATTCTGCTATTCCATCTTGTATTTACTAATTCAACATTTATACCCCCATCACTAGACTCTCAGCACCCCTGGCCAGGTTTCACCTGCCCAGTTTCCACATGTCCCACCCTAAGCCTGGCACACAGCGTGTGTTCAATGACTGGTTCCCAAAGACCCGCCACCAGCATCCCTGATTTCCCAGCCAGGACTCTGGGCTAGGAACACCACACACCTTTGGTTACCTGCTCAACAAATGGTCACTGAGCCCATTCTATGCGTGAACACTAGGCAGCCTCACTGCAACATTCCCATTTTACAGATGAAGATTAAGGCTCAGAGGAGGAAAGTTCCTCACCAAGATCACATAGCGGGGAAAAATCCGCTTCATTATAGAAACTAACAGACCAAACAGTCCCTGTCCTTAGAGTCTGTGGTCTCCACTCCAGTACTCCGAGCAGTACCAGGTGCTGCATAAATGCACACTGAAATCTGATTTAAAAACCAAAAGGGCCAAAGGGGACATGCATGATGGTGATGTCCCCACAGCGGGACCAGAGAAATGACAGGCAGGGGAGCCAGATGGCTAGAGTGCAAATCTCTCTGCCGTCTACTACAAGTGACCCTGGGCAAGTGACTTAAACTGGCTGTGCCCTGGATCAACTCCCATGGAGCTGCTGGGAGGATTAATGAGTTAATACGAGCAGGGCTGGGCGCAGGGCTGGGCAGGAGCGAGGGCCCTGTTGGCGTTTGCTCTTCTGATGATTAGGGTTACTCGGAGCAGCGCCTGAGGAGGAGGGGCCCCAGGCGCTGCTCCCCTGTCCCACATAGGAGCCCTGGATGCCACAGACCTGGTTCGATGCTGGCTGTGCTAGAAGTGCCCTCTGGCAGGTGACGTCTCCTCTTGGGGCTTCGGGTTACTCATCTGTAAAAGGGGAAGAAAACATCATTCATTCATTCAGTAATAACTCACTCCTTTGTGTCCAGCCTTGTGCTGGCTGACCAGGGATACAGTGGTGATGGACCAGCCTCGGACAGACAGCCCAGAGTGATTGGGGCTGGGGTTCCAGGGTCCCAGACCCAGCCCAGAGGGATGGCAGGATGCGGATGAGGTGAGGGGAGGCTTCCCAGAAGAGGGGCCATGTGAGCTGAGATCCAGAGGACATGGGGAAATGCACTGGGTAGGGATCATGTCTGGTTCATGGCTGGCTCCTCAGTGCCTGGCACAGTGCCCAGCACAGGGTCAGCCCCGAGCTCAGTAAGTCTTGTGACCCAGTGAGGATGCTCACGAGCGTGTCTGGGATGTGGCCCCCGCAGCCCCTGGTTCCCCTCCTGGCTTCTTTCCTGTAGGAGCAGCTCTGTGAGGTGAGGACGAAGAGGCTGCCACCCCTGGCCCAGAGGCAGGACTATCAGTGGGCAGCCAGCCAGGAGAACCGGTTTGGCAGCGGGAGCCCAGCGGGAGGCGGGTGGGGACCCAGCAGCCAACCTGTCTCAACTGGCCTGGACCTCCTGGCCAGCAGGTGGCCAGAGCCAGGGCTCTGCCAGCGGGTCCAGTTTCCCTGGCTGCCCTGGCCAGGGTGGGGGCCCTCTGCCTCTTCTCTGATCCCTACCAAGCCAGGAGCCCTTCAGTGTCTCTCCCCAATTCTGGCCCCCAGAACACTGTCCGTCCTCTGCTCCCAGGCTTCTGGCCTGGCCTACCTACCAGTGGCCCTGACCTACCCTGTTTCTCTCCAGGCTTCTCTGCTCTCGGCCCTTTCAGTTCCAGCCCCTAGCCTCATCCCTACACCCCGACCCTCCCCCATCACCCCTGCTATCACTCCAGGTCTATGCCCCATGTTCTATCACCTCCTCTGTCTTCCCACATGTGCCCCTGTTTGGCCCCAGCCTCACTCCTCACTCACTGTGGCCTCTCTCACTGGACCTGCCCATTCTCCACCCCCCAGCTCAGGGCCTGTGGGCACCAAGTCAGCTCCAAGCCCTCCTCAGGAATAGGATTAGCCACATGACCCCTCACTAAACCCAGGGAAGGGAGGAGCTCAGGATCCAGTCAGAGTGCGTAGGAGGCAGCCTGGAAGATGGGGCAGCCAACCCAGGACCCCCACCCATAAAGCTCTGAGCACTGCTTGCGCATCGCAGCTGGCCCGCCCGCCCCTAGCTGCATGCCACTGCAGGCGAAGGGGACTCAGGGGCACACCTCCGGATATTTGCCTGGGGCCACCCCTTCCCTCTGGGCGCTGCATGGAGGGCAGGACAAACAGAGGAACTGACTGTGTTTATAATGATCAGGCGGGAGCCCCACCCTGGGGCAGCTCCAACACAGCTGGTTCCCCTGACCAGACCCCCGCCCCCGCCCCCTTCCCATCAAGTCCCCAAGATATGGACTGTATGGGGCCTGCAGAGGAGAAGGGAGAGGAGCTGCCACACAAAGGTAGGGACCTGTGCCAGGAGCAGGGTGGGTGAAGAGTGGGCGCTGGGGTTCCTGGGCAAGTTCAGAGCCGGCCACCACCGCTGCCACACACTCTGCTGCCTCACTTTCTGTGCCTGTGAAGTGGGGTGACCCACCTGCCTTGGGGGCTCACCGCGTGGCCCTGGACCAGCGGCTCAGCTGCGTTGTGCCTCAGTTTCCTCCTCTGTTAAAGGAAGACCATGACAGTACCTGCTTCTTGGAGCTCTTAGACGAAGTCACAGAGAACGCAGGCACTGGGGGCCTGGCCCCAGGGACAGGGACAGCGCACACAGTAAGGAAGTGCTCGGTAACGCCAGTCACCATCACAGTGGCAGCAACACTTACTGAACCCCTACCGTGCCGGCCCCTCTCCTAAGCACCTGACCAGGAGTCCCTCATTCAATCTGCATGCCTGACTCTGGAGGAAGGTGCCATTATGGGCCTGGTGTTACAGATGAGGAAGACGAGGCACAGAGAAGGCGCCCCACTCACCAGGGGCCCGTAGCCTGGGATGCAGAGTGGACATGATGCTCCAGGCCCGTCTCACCCAGAGCCCGGGCTCCGCCGGTTCTTAGAATTACAGCAGCTGTGTCCTTGGAGATTCTGTCTAATCGCATTCCACCCTCACTGCCACCTGTGAGACAGGCACTCTCATCGTCCCCAGTTCACAGGTGGGAGACTGAGGCCCAGAGGGGAGAAACCTTGTTCAGGGCACCCAGGATCTGAACACGGGCAGCTGGGGGACTAAAGTCTAGGCTCTTACCCGCCTGTCCCGCGCCCGTGGGCTTGTGGAGGTGCTTTTGTTTTTATCATCCTCTTCCTCCTCATCTCCTCCAAGTCTCGTCCTTGTCTCCTTCCCTTCCTCCCTCTCTCCCCATCTTCTCTCCACAACCAGACTTGGCCTTTCCTCTCCTGCCCTGAGCCCTCCTGGAGCTGAGGGTCCTCACCTCCACTCTGACCTGTCCCAGCCCCCCAGGGGTAGTGGGAGGCAGCACAAAGTGGGGTTCTGACCACCGCCTCCCCCCCACCCCAGGGCTCCTTATTCACCTTTTCCACAGGCCTTTGGCGTATCAGTCTGCACTGGAAAAGATGTCCAAGAATCAGTCCCCGCCACCGAATGTGGCTTACTGAAGCTCAGCCCCAGAAACTCACACCCCCGCCACCACTGCGGGGAAGGGAGGGGACCCACGACCCTGCGCAAATGCCAATGCTCAGCACTGGCTCCCCGCACTCTGGTGGAGTGGCTATTCTCACCCTCGTGTTGCAGATGTGGAAACTGAGGCTCACAAAGGTGAATCTCTTGCTAAGGTCATGAAGCAGAGGTGGGCCTGGAAGATGGTCAGATCCATTACAGAGTCAGCATCCTTGAACACTTTGCTCGCCCTCAAGGCTCTTCCCCGTAGCCCACAAGGTCCTGCTCTCCTCCCACAAGCCCCCTCGCTCACTTTGCCCCGGCTACTTGGGCCTCCACGCTGTTCTTCAAACCCAAGACATGCCCCTACCTTTGCACTGGCAGTCTGCCCCCGCTGCGGGGACTCTCTTCTCACTGATCTGCACATGGCTCCTCCCCTCCTTCCTTCCACCCACATCTGTGTTCAAGTGTCCCTGTTCCTGTCCTGTCACCCTCTCTATGCCTCTTTCCTTGCCTTACTCACCGTGTGTGTGTGTGTGTGTGTGTGTGTGTGTGTAATTCTTCAGTGTCTGCTTCTCCCATTAGAATGTCAGCTCCTTGCGTCCTGCTCCCCGCTGTACCCCAACTCCTACAACACCGCATGGCCCACAGCAGGCATGGAACACATGGTGAATGAACACACTCCCCTGTACCTGCTACGTTACCCACCTGCTTGGACACCTCAGACTCTGCCCAGGAAGGACTTGTAAAACTCTGGCAGAGAAACCCTTGCAATCTAGAGGCAGAGGGTGAAGCGGTGACCCCAGTGACACAGAACAAAGGAGGACAGCGTGCAGCCCGCGGCCACCAGCCAGAGCCCGATGCCTCTGAAGTCCGGTGTCTGATTCCCCAAACTCAAGCATGTCTCCATCCTACTCTAGAATGTTTATTTCAATTAAAAAAAA